CCCACCTACAATCCCTGCCGGTACGAGACTCGAACCCACAACCTTTGGGTTACGAGTCCGACTCTCTAACCTTTGAAAAGAGCCGAACTTCCCATCACTAGCACAGACAAAAGAGTAATCCAACAAGACAGGCAATGATCAGGGCAGGCAGCAGTCAATCAAAAACAAGGTAACAGTCCAAGGAACAAAACACGAGAAAGGCAAAACTTAGGAACATGGAAACTAGAAAACACGGAAGGGCTAAACAAAGTCTGGAATGGAGTGCCCTCTAGTGAAGCTCACGGCACTCCAGCTAGAGATCGTGACAGTCACATTAAAACCATAATGTGCCATCATTCTACATTAGCACTCATTAGAAAACTGAGGTATTGTCATGCTACTAAAAAGTGTAATTTAGTAGCATCACTACTTAATGTTTAATTCTCCCAATAACTACTCCCATTCACTATGGCTTTGTGTGCATACATGTGAGTGTCCAAGTTTTTTCAGTCATACTGCATCTATCTGGCTTTATCTGGATTCTGCAGCCTAATCAAATCAAAATTAACCTATTTAATCAGAACCATCTGAATCGTCCTTGAAGGAATACTTGTGCATTCCTGGGCATCAGGATGTCAGGAAAGGCCAGTTGACCTTGTAAAAATAATGGCGTTTGAATTAATTAGCTTCGTGTTTGGACATTGATGATGTTTCTCTTCAGCCTTTGTTGTCTCTGATACTGCTTGTTGCTCTATGCACTGATTCTTCTGTTTTCTATTCTTATCATTAGACTTTTAAATGACTGGTGCGATCTGATTTTATTTCATATTCAGAGGCTCCTCTGTTTTGCCTCTTTATAAAATGCTCTTTTTCTGTACTGCTGTTTTCACTTATTAAGAGCATGTTGTGAGCAAAGGGGCTTGTTTATTTGCATGATCAAGGTTGTGGCCTGTAGTGAGCAGAGTTTCACATCCTTACCCGTGCATACTAACACACAGCCAAACTGCCGTTCTTCATTGATTGTGCTGTTAGAACTATGTGGCTATGTAGAAACAGTAGTTTTATTGTCTACTTAATTATTTTATCTGGCACAATAATGTAATGTCTTTGAATTATATTCATTTGTGGGCTTTTCTTAGCAACTAATACATCAGTTGGCAGCCCAAATTATTTGCATATTTTCTGTATATTTTCTGTATGTAATTCTTTTATCGGTTGGGAGACCTAATTTCCATTTTCAGTTACATATTCTCTAACTTCTGCATAAACTGGGGCTCAATTTTCTCTTGCTCCCATTTTAAAGAGAGAATTCATCAAAAAAAAAATTTATATCATTTATTCACTCTCATGTCATTTAAAACTATTTTTTAAACTATTTTTTTCATATGCAGAACACAAAGATTTTTTTTTCTATACAATGAAAGTCAGTGAAAGTCAGTTTCATTGTTTAGACAAAAACAATTCTTCATTTTTGTCTGGACTGTACCTTTAAATTTGCTGTTTTCTCAAAAACAGTGTGTGGAGAATAAATGGTGTGTATAGAGCTGTAATGGCGGCCTGCAGCAGAACTGATGTAAATGTCTGCTGCAATCTGCTCCTATTGATTACCCTGTTTTTTAACTGTCCTCATTCTCCTTTTCTTTCTCTTTTAGTCCTTCTGTGTTTTCTTTTCACTGTGTCACAGAGTTTCACCGCAAGCTGCTCTCTTTTCTCTCTGCAGTCCAGTATCTGAATGCTTGATTGCACTTCCAAATTTTTATTTGCAGATTTATGCATTCAAACTAACGTTGATTATAGGAGTGCACTCTGACATTTCCAGCTCTGGGCTGTTGTTTGCACTTGTGTGTCGTAATCTTTCACTCTGTAAGGTCACGGTGATGGTAGTTTTGTGTATTTTTAACAGGATTTCGGAGATGATGGATCACTGTACATTACCAAGGTGACCACTACGCACATGGGCAACTACACCTGCCATGCAGACGGCTACGAGCAGCTTTTCCAAACACACACCCTGCAGGTTCATGGTATGTAATGTACAACACATTCACTTGCAAAATTGACCAGTCACGATCAAGTTTACCAGAGAGCTGTATAATAATAATAATCCATTAGATTTAAAGAAACAATGAATGGAATCTAAAAGGAAACGTGCACTGTACTGCTCACTCAATATTTATGTTCACTGCAAGCACAGTGATAGTGAGTTTAAGTACAACTTGACAAGATAATAATAATAATAATTATAATTTTTAAAAGTTTTTTTTTTTTTAAGTACTATAAGGATTGACGCACATGCTTTTTTTCATAATTTCATTCCAGCTATGGTGTTACTTTCTTCTGAAGGGCAAAGGGTCTTTTAGCATCTTCCTGGTCCTCTGTGATCAAAATACAAGTTTTTCATCATTCCTTAAACTCCTGCTACCTTTTCCCTTGCCGTTTCTCATTGACACATGAAACACAGAGCAATCAAATGCCCCTAAATGATAACATCACATTTTAATTGGATAAAAAAACAATTGAACTTGCCTTCGGAGTTGTTGCCTAGCAATTAATCGTGGTCAGAGCTGGGAGGAAATGGGAAATTAATTAGTAGATGACACATGTTCCCTTTCTGTGTCTTAAGTCACAAGGGTACTAATGCTCCCCCTTACTTAATTATGCTTCCTCCTGATGACCAAAAGCATTGGAATATTTTTTGGTCTTATATTCTCTCAGTCCTTAGTCAGTTTGCTGATGTTTTTTTCTATTATTGCATTTGTGTAGTTTAATTTAAGCTGAAACATTTACATTTCTCTTTAGCAGACAAACAATTTTTAATTAATTTCCTGCACGGCACACGGAAATGACCGTCAACCTTTTGGCTTTCAATTCAATTTAAATTTTCAAAGTTGTCTTTAGCGCCGTTTTATTTATAATAATGACAAAGAAATGATGTTGCTTTGTTTTCCAGGCAGGGTTTTGCTTGACAGACTAAAAAAGAAAAACATTAATAACCCTCTCTGTGATGTATGTATGTATATATATATATATATTTTTTTTTTTTTTTTTTTTTTTTTTGGGGGGGGGGGGG